CTGCCGAGCACCAGACATTTTATAAAAGTGAATTGAATCATTTTTCATGATTCAAATGAATTCTATTCTACGAAAATGTGCAAAATCAACGGGTAAAGAATGTCACCAGCCGGGCTGTCGCCGCCGACCGCCGCGTTGGGATGCATGTCGNGGAGTCCGGGGTTCAGCAGTTTGGATCGCCGGAAAACCACCGAAAAACCTGTATTAAAGTTTTATTTTAAGAAATATTTGTATTTTTTTCATGATTTCGTAGCCGCTTTGCCTCTATCCACCGCTGACCAGCGCCCTACTGCTGCGTTCCGCTCGGAGCGGCCGCTGGCCACCGGCGCCGATGGTCTGCCGATCTGCGTTCCTCTTCCTCTTTTCGCCACTTTTTTGGTAAATTATGAAGACAGCATCAACTCCTGTCTTCTATAAAACTCCTTTGTAGCACCGAAGTGAGAAAAAAGCCGCTCTATTGCTCTCGGCGCCCGCAGCAGCCGCTCCGCCAGCTGCACGGGCAGTTGCCGCTGTCTCACGCGACCCGTATCCCAGGCAGCAGACCCAACACCGCCGCCTCCAGCGATGGCGTCGCCGCCTCTCGACAGTGGCCCTATCTCAGACTCTCTTCCTCCGTCTACTGCAGCGCTAGCTGCGCCCAATTCGCTGCTAGAACTCGAACCCGGCAAGGCTTCCCCCCTCTCCCCGACGAAACCCCAACCTGCACACATTCACTGCCCTTCACCTTCTGCTGCAGATGCTCTTGCTACGGCTGGAGAGTTCTGCTTCAGCAGAGCTCAGGGGCCCCAGGGGCCCCAGGCAGGAGGAGAAAGCCGGGGGGCCCCGATTAAGGCGGAAACTGCGGAGCGTCTGCACGCCTCTGATCCGTTCTCTAGCTTCTTCGAGCAGTCNCCCCGATTAAGGCGGAAACTGCGGAGCGTCTGCACGCCTCTGATCCGTTCTCTAGCTTCTTCGAGCAGTCCGAGCCTTCAACAGTTTTGGTGCGGCTGGAATCCGATGAAGTTGGGGGGCCCCCACTGAGCACGATTGCATGCAACGAGGGGCCTCGGCGTTTCGGTTCTGCTGCAAGCGAGCCCGTAAAGAAAGAGGTGCAGGATGAGAGGCGGTCTAGCTCCACTGACGCCTCTGCCTCTCCCCTAGACTCCGCTTATACCACCAGTAGAAGCAGCTCTTCTCTGCTGCCTGAGGGCGTCTCAGCTGTAGGAGAGGGGAAACTGGTGCAAGTCGAAGGCCCCAGCCGCTGCTCCCCCCTGGAGTTCTATGACATCGCCGCTGCGTGCCAGCAGACTACAGACCTAGCCGCAGCTGCTCTCACCATACCAACCAGCCCCCCAGCATCAGCAACAACAACAACAGCAGCAACAGCAGCAACAGCAGCAACAGCAGCAGCAGCTGAAAAAACCCCCCCAGCACTGGGCGCTGGCGAGACCCCGTCTGTAGATAGTCCTGCTGCAGAAACTGCAGCTGCAGTAGCAGCAGAAGGAGCAGCACCCTCATCAGAAGCAGAAACAGCAGGAGCAGCACCAGCACCAGCAGCAGCAGCAGCAGCAGCAGCAGCAGGAGCAGCAGCAGCAGACTGGGTGGGTGAATTGGGTTCTAGGGGCTGCATGCAGTGGCCCTTTGAGAGCAGCGTGCGGCCATGGGCCGACGTCAGCGAGGCCCCCCGCGAGCGAGCAGAGGGGGCGAGCACCGCGCAGCTGGAGGACCTGCCTAAGAAACGCATATGGGTTATTCACAGGGTAAAACAAAAAACCCTAAACCCTAAACCCTAAACCCTTGATCGCCCTATCTGGGGTTTCAGGGGCTGGTTAAGGATAGGGGGCTTCAGCTGCTCCCCGCTGCAGCCGTATATATGCATCCTCCTGCGTTGGTGTCTGTCTAGCTGCCTCTATACGCCAGCAACACATATTCCCTGTATTTATGTGTATTTATGTTTTTAGATGGAAGTCTGTGGGGGTATATATTATACTTGTATTTGCGTATATATATATATATATATATATTATATATATATATATATATGTGTGCATATATTTATACATGTTTATATGTGTGAGAATGTGTGTGTGCGTTTAGGGTGTATGTACACCTGTGTCCTGGTACGCGGACACGAGCGCGGAGGACGTGAAGATGGCGGTGTTGTGCGCATGCGATGTACTAGCAGATGACGTGGAGGCCCTCGAGGCCTCTGCTGCTGCTGACGGGTTTTGTCTCCGCCTTATACAGCCGCTGCCAGACCGGTGGGCCGATACTCTCTAGGGTTTAGGGTTTAGGGGTTAGGGTTTAGGGTTTAGGGTTTAGGGTTTAGGGTTGTTTGAGGACTGCTACGAGATGCCTGCAGCAGCTCGACGCAGCAGCAGCAGCAAGTGCACACGAACAACAACCCCCTAACAAATACAGAGATGCCACATCTTTCTCGCCGCTCAGATGCTGCTGCTGGTATTGCTGCTGCTGGCGCTGCCCCTGCTGCTGCTGCTGCTGCTGCTGCTGCTGCTGCTGCAGTTGCTGCTGCTGCAGTATTCAGAATACTTGCTTGGGTTTGTGGTTTGCTTGTGTTCAGTGCGGATGTGGACGAGGCGGGTTTATTCAGAGATGTGAAAACCCTCACCCTTCGCTGCAGACTGCCTTCAAGCGAGGGGGCCCCCGAGGGCCCCGAGGGTACTGGGGGCCCCTGGGGCCCCCTTCCCGCTGCAGGACTTGTGCATGCAGCTGAAGGTATCGAGGCAGCAGCAGAAGAGGCAAAGACAACGGCCGAAGCACAAACTGCAGCACCAGAAGGAGAAGCTGCAGCAGAAGCACCAGCAACATCAGAAGCAGCAGCAGCAGCAGCAGCAGCAGCAGCAGATGAGACAGAAACAGGCGATGAAGTGTCGGTGGTGGTGATGCTGGGGCCCCGGGTCTTCGCGCAGGACTTTGGGGGCCTGCAAGAGGGGGGAGCCTACGTACTGGAGCTGCAGCCTACGGGGGCCCCTGAGGAGGTGCAGCAGCAGCAGCAGCGACAGCAGCAGGAGCTGCAGCAGCTGAGGCAGCAAGTAGGAGACAAATGGCGACGGCTTGCTGTTGAAGTGGAACCCCTCAGGCATATCGAGGCACAGAAAGCGGTGATGCAGATGCGCAGAGGTGAGCATACACCCCAGCAGCATGCATGCATGAACATGCATGCATGCATGAATAGGGTAACAGACAAATTAAGAAATAAACAAACCAGCAAAAATATACATAAACAAACGGGGGAACAAACAGAGTAAACAAATAAATAAATAAATAAAAGCACTGAGGAGCAGAACGTCCCCAAACAAACAAACAAACAAATAAATAAATAAATAAATAAACAAAGATATCCCCCAATCAAACAAAGAAATTACAACAGCAACAATCCATGGCGTTCCCTTCAATATTTCTTGTTTCTGCTGTTCACAGTGTGCTTCATGTTTTATATTTCATGTTTAGTGT